TTTCGCAGGTGAAACGTGTAACGATAAGGGAGAAGACGATCAAAGATGGACGGTAACTTATTGAAATAAGTCCTTGTTTAGTTTTATAGGCTAGGGGAAAAGGAATGTCCTTATAAAAATGACTGGACTGCTTGTCAAAAAGTGTTAAAGGATTTTTTGGTGGGGACAGGGGGTGGGAGATCGTTTCCAGGTTATTTTATTTTTTTGAAATATCGGCTTCAAGTGACGGCAGTGTCTAACAATTTTGTGTCTATGGATATGCATTTGGATATGCAGTTTGGAAACATTTACTTCAAACAGTTGTTACAACTTTGGTCCCGATTGTTCTGAGGTTCCTGACTTAAGCAAAGCACCTTGGGCGTCACATTTGTGAAGTTGTTTTGTTTTTGTCAACAGGAAGTGCTAAAGTCGGTAGACTCTAAAATCCTACAAATTCACCAGGCCCTACCGAAAGACACTTTGTTTTTTGTGATGTTTGGTTGCGGGGATTTATCACTCGTCACAAGGCAAGTTGTTATTTTATGCAATTTTAGATATCGTACATCCTACCTAGCTACTTTAAAATGGAATCTTGAGCCAGTTAGTTATTACAATGTTTAGACGCCGTTTAAGTTGTTTGGTCGCGCGATAATCCTGCTACTAGTTTAATTGTTTGATAGGCATTGGTCAGTTACTAAGTCCAGGAGTGTTCCACTAAGTTTCCCCGACAAAAATCACCTTTCTTAAACCCTGAGGGTTACTGGATAGCAGCAAGGTAACGATAAAGATCTTTATTTTACGTCGGAAATGAACCCGTAATACTGCACATTTGACTGACACAGATGAGGCAGACTTTGCGCTCGTTTTACCTCCTTCCCTCCATCAGTTCTCCTTTTTACTGGTGTTAAAAGCTACTTTCAAAAAGCTACAAGGAAAAGAGTAAAAGGCGAAACAAGGATTAAGGTCCCACCTGTAAATCGAACTCGAAATCTTCCGCACAGAAGGCCGCGCACGTTTGCTCCATTAACTAACAACCTACCCGTGGCTTATAGGGCTTCATCTAACCTGCGTGCGCGACAGGCGCTTGGAAGTAATATAATAAGCGCAATGGACGGGGTGCGCCTCGTTCTATCTAGCACATAATTCCACGCAGCTATCTCGAGGGAGGAACGTGTCACGAAGGCCTTAAAACGTTCACGTTGCGGACGAAAAACTGTTATCATCGTATAAATCTTTAATGTTGGTATCTCTTTTTTTAGACTTCAGAAGGAGCGGAAGTCAAATAAAGCAGAATTAAAGAAAGCTGTGAAGATTGCAAAGAAAGGCTTGTGTTTTATTAAGATCACGTGGTAGTTTCAACTTGACGTAATCATTTGACAGGAAAGAAACGAGAGTCGACTCGGCAACAATCAGTTCAAGTCCGTGTAGGATGTGAAAGACATGGATCAAGGTTGAAGTTTCACTGTTTTTTCCACTGAGCTTTTTGTTCAAACCATTTTCAAGCGTCAAAAGTTCAAAATGAGAATTTTTCTAAACTTTTCATTCGTAGAATTTTAAAGAGGAGCACTGAGGTTTTCTTTAGATAAGTTTAGCCAAAGTCGTCGTTGAGATATATTCAGCGTTAAATTTAATAAAACTTGTACAAGTTTAATTTACAAGTGTAGCTATTGCTTTAGAGTCTGGAAATAAAAGGAACACTTGTAAATTACACTTATAAATGTTTACTGATTAATTGATGCAGGATTGAATCCTTGGGAGATGCAAGATTTTTGTAATAGCCGTCACATAGCGTCCTTATGAGTACCAGTTCACCAAAATGCATACTGAGATTTTGGCAATTAAGAATTGCAGCAAATTATATCTAAATGAACAAGGCAAGATCTCAAAGATCAAAATGACAACAGCCCAGCCATGTATGAAGTGCTTATTGAGACTATACCCGCGCACATTCTTGGACATAAGTGACGTACTTTGCCTAGCAACGTTCCCGTGAACACCCCCAATGTTTGCTCTTTTTCTGCGGGGTAGGCGTGCGCGAAATATGGGTGCGCGTCAAGTGATGCGCGAGGGAGATGAGAACGCGAAGAGAAAGGTAGCGTTCTTTCTCCTCGCACGAGGATAGCGCTGCCGTTCATATTTGCCTCTATATTTCACATGCGCCTGTTACGAAGGCTAAAGAAACACTTTATACGCAGACACAGAGGGGAAGCACCGGATGGTTATTAAATAAACAGGCACCATTTTGTGTCGCCTTCAAATTAAATCAATCATTTATTTTTACACATTGCCTCCGGTACGAACGTGAATAAAGAAAACTTCTGATATTTTCATTTTTTATCTATACATCTAAAGGTTATGTTAATTCAAGAAATTTATTTACATCGCTCTCAAGACGGATGTGGGGGGGGAGGGGTGGGCAGACTGTTCCGTACCTTTGATAACAAATCGGTGGGAGAATTCATTCAAAAGAGAAGTATCTCAAGCGCTGAGCACTGACATCTTAGCCCGTATAGGGCCTGTTATAATTTACAGCCCACACAGGATTTAAAGACATTTATTGGGCTTGGATTCTAACCTTTTTGAGTCTATAATGTCGTGTACTGAGTTGATTTTTCGCTGTCTCCAAACAAGCAAAAATTGATCAAGTATTACTTGTAGAGCTGAACTTGAATCTTCCTCGTATTATTGATATTAATGAATTCTTCCTTGTATTAATAACAAAGAAAACTATTACATCCCGGACCGCGTAGGTTCAAACGTTGCATTGTAAAACAAGTGCATATTTCAACACTTAAAGAAACCTGCTAGAATTTTTTAACAATTTTAAGAACAATATTTTTCCCTTACTTAAAAGATAAAAGCAAGGTAACTGAAAGGAAAGAAAAGGATGATCGAAAGTTGCAGAATTTACCAAATCACAAGATTATTTTGTCCTCTTTGCGGTTTTAATAGAAATTAATGGACGAAGTTTGCATTATCACGATTATATTTTTGTACTGATTTATTACCAAGCGAGTCTGATGTAACTTAATTGTTATCCCTTTGTTGCTTTATTATTTCTTCTTGTTTTATCTTTAAAAACTTTCACAGGAAAAATTTCAGAATCCCCATTTTGGGTTTAAAAAGGGAAATAATTGGGATTTCAAAGGGATTTCTTTGGGAAAACCCAAAATTGGGAAAGTGCTACCAAAACCAAGCATGGGTTTTTAAAATCCCATTTTATTCCCAATAATGGGATTTTTCAGTCCCAAGTTTTACCCAAGAATGGGTTATTTTTGGGCCAGTTTTTTCCCAGTATTGGGATTAAAACTTCCTATTCTATTCCCAAAAATGGGATTTCTAGGTCCCAAGTTTTACCCAACAGTGGGTTATTTTTGTGCCAGTTTTTTCCCAGTATTGGGATTAAAACGTCCCATTTTATCCCCAATAATGGGATTTCTAGGTCCCAAGTTTTACCCAATAATGGGTTATTTTTGAGCCTGGTTTTTCCCAATATTGGGATTGAAATTTCCCATCCAAATCCCAACAAGTCTAGAATAGACAAACAGCTTTTGTCCAAATCAACTAAGATAATGCATTTTCTTTTCAAACAGTTTTAATACACTTAACTATATTTTTGGTTTAAATAAAAACATAGTGCATATTTTGTACAAATAAACTATTTGAATTTATTTATATAAGTAAGTATATATGTCTTAGATTATATTTAGATTAGATTAGATTATATTTCAAAATGTCTCATTTGAATGTGTCCATCAATGCAGGGGGTTCATTAAGGTTTTGAACAGGAGGGCAACTGAGTTTGACACCTGGGCAAAGAATTGGCAAGGCCCGGAGGGCCTTGCCCCTTAGGGGGGTCAGGGGGCATGCTCCCCCGGAAAATTTTGAAATTCTATAGTCGTAAGGATGTGTTTTCCTGCATTTTGAAGCTGCAGACAATGACTTTCAACAACCAAAAAAAGATAACTTTTCTAGACAATTTAATCATGATTTGATACCAATACCCACCACACAAATTGAACTTTTTGGTTCTCTTTTAATAGCTCTGCTCATAATAATCTTTACTCAAACTCACCGTCAGCATCTGAGCCGTAATCAACTTATCTTAAAAATTTCAATGACTAGACAGGAGGAGCACTGTTTTAACGTGAACGCACCGAAAATTAATTCATTGGCGTAATGCATCAGTCAATTCCACCTGCGCCTAGCTCCCCGGCAACTGCGGGGCATTTGCCCCCCTTGTCAGTCCCGGGGGTGGGGCATTTGCAAATGTTGCACTGCCTGGGGGCCGGGCATTTGCCAACCCCCGGGCCAATCCCGGGCTTTTGACACGCACGCGGTTTCCTATCAGAATATAACTACAAAGAAGGTTTTACTGGAAGAAAAGCAGATTGGCTCATTTGTCAAGGACAGGAATAAATTGTAGAGGCTTGTAACGGCATGTTCTCGATTTTACATGTATGTATGCATCTTTTCATCATTGCTTATCAAGCCAGAACTACGTAGCGAAATTGGAGCTATCGATGTGAATCAACGTTTTTTGGTTATTGAATCAAATTTCTGTTGATATTATTTGAAGAACATCCTTTCATATTTATAAAACTATTCATAACATATAACTTTACAGCGCTCTATTAATTTTAATGTCAATAATTTTATACCAATACTAAAACCATAAACTGGTGCATGTCGTCGCGGGGCGAAGTCTTAATTAGAATCCTCGCGCTATTACAAAGGAAGACGTTAATAAAACCAAAAAATCGCACCTTAAAATGCTTAAAACGGAACTATTTGACTGTGCAATCAATAAAAAATGTTGTAGTGTTGACGGAGGACGGGACATTTGCCCTCTTTTTTCGTCCCCACCCCGGGGGATTTGACAGCTCAACAGTCCCCACCCCCGGGAATTTGCCATCCAAGGCAAAAAAAATGCTAATGCCCGGGCGCAGGCGGAATTGACTGATGCATAAACCATAAGTCGAATAAAAATCACGCTTCGCTTCGTTGAACATGATGACTAAGCCATTCAATATATACAGGCAAGTAAAAGGTTAAATCACAAAGAAGTCTACTCATCTCTTGGTCTGTTCTCTACTGGAGGCCCTTTGGTTGAAGCCGAAAAATAATACGCTATCGAACGCGTTCTTTTCTGGGCCACCATGCTCACGTGCTCGCAACACTGATACATTTCAAATGGTCGTTTTTGAAGCACAGTTCTTTTCGCAATGTGTTATGGGGCGATTCTTGTTTTTAACACACAAAGAACGAGGGGATTTCATGCCGCGTGTAATAAAGTGGAAATTGCACGGCAAAGTATGTTTTACAATCGATAAGGCTCATCAAGAAATGGGCACGATTGTAACTTAAAACTGTTTTTGATCGTTCCTTGTATTAAAAAGAAGTTGTTTGAGATGTAAAGCAGCCGGGCAAAGTCGTGTTCACAGCCGGTCAATTTGCCCGGTGCCCGGCCCTTAATGAACCCCCTGCAATGTCTCAAGTGCATTTAGACTCACTGGTTGTTCAATTTACAGTATAATATGGAAAGCATCAATACTTCTTACTATAATAAACAATATAGAACATTAATGAATTCCAACACAACCTTTTTCAAATGTAAGGTGTTTCCATCGTTAAAACTGTCAGTACCCTTGAGGAAAGGTTATAACAATAAACTCTTTCAAAGTTTTCAGAAAAAAACACAGTCCTTTTAGGCATTAATTGTCATAAAATCAACATCATCACTATTAAAGTGATGAAAGGTAACTTGTTTCAGTCTCCTTGTTCACTTTTATCATAGCCATCTTCAGCTGCCTAGGATCAACAGGTTCATCAGGGATTAAATTTCCACATACTTGTGCCTTGCTGGCTTCTTGGACACCACTTCCAACAGTTGAGATAGCGTGAGGGGCATGAGATTTCTAGGTGTGACAGAGAATCTCTTCTTCAGCAGCTTTGAGATCTCCTCTCCACCCAAAACACTTCCACATATAAATCTCACAATCATCTTGCAAAGTTTTGGTGACAACTGAATACTGCTACCCCCCTCTGCAGTACTAGCCTGGGAAGGTGGTGGGTCTCCTTTTTCGTTTTCAGAGTTATCTGGTGAAAGTGTTGATCCAAAGCTACCAATATCGCCACTGTCCTGCAATTTTAAAATCAGTAATGCAAATCAAAAACCTTTAACCTTCAATGTTAAAAAAATAATAATAATCCAAAGGGAAGAAAACAGGGCTTTGATCAGTTTAGGATGTTATGTACCAGTAACATACACACATATTTTTAGTGTATTATATATCATAAGCTTATATATTAGCTGAGATGAAAACCTAGAAAGCTATGACCTGCCCTTCTGCCAGTTTTACATATTCAAAACATGTATCGTGCGAGACAGTTTTTTTATTCTCAATCAAGTCAGTGCTTGGAACGGGTATATAAAATAAAAGAGATTTTGCATTTAATTCAAAGAAAAACCTCTCGCCTTCATGAAACTTCTTTTCTAGCAAAAGTTCAGTATATGTAGGCAAAATGGACGGCCATGGAATAAACAAGTAAACTTTACATTTGCTAGGAAATATTGATTTAATATTGTTCAAGTCTTCGCCAATGCAAAGTACCACAGATTGTTGTTGTTCAATAAAAGCACGCCAAAAAGTAAAAGAAAACTAAAAAAGAGAGAAACTTGGAAGGTTTGTAGCATTCTGGGCCGTTTCCCGCCGAAAATATAAAAGCAACGTTCGTACCTTCAAACGCTTTCCCCACTGCTTCTCCACAACATTCTTTGATTCGTTTTAAGATTTCCTCTGCACTTGGATTCTCTATATCCTCAAATTGTTCTTTTCGTTCATCTTTATCCGTTTTCTTTGGCTCTAAGTCTGAATTTTGTGAGGACGAAGCAAGAAACAAAGCCATCTTCTGAACGGGAGTTTGAATCGAGCGAGCCGTTCTTGTGCGCATGCGGGGAAAGAGAACTGGGGCAAGCATTCTCGTCCCCAAGGCCACTCGGCTTTCTTTCTTTCTTATAGACACGCGGCGATGGCGACTGGAATAGAAAATTTAACTCTACAGTAACTTTTACCTGATCCAATTTTTCACCCAAACTTTTCCCACCGTAGGAAAGCTATGCCCCATTCCTTCCTAGAATTGGGAAAATCCAAAAACATTTAACAACTCTGTTCCCAATGTTTTCCAATTTTTGGAAAAATATTTCCCAAATCCAAAAAAAATTGGGACGAGTGGAATGAACTCTTAAGATTTCCCAATATTTTCCCAAAATAGTACTTTCTATTTTCTCCAAGACAAAATTTTCCCAATTTTTTTGTCCAATATTTTCCCAAAGAAGGAAGTTCATGTCCCAATTTTTCCCCAGAATTGGGTAAATTCCCATAATATTCCCAAAATGGAGTTTTGAAAATATAATTATTATATTGTCCCAAAAAAATCCCTTTTTTGTGATCTTAAAAGTGGTTCAACCTCCCAAAATTTTCCCAATTTTGGTAATTTCGTTCCCAATTTTTCCCCAATATTATCCCTAAATTGGGAAAATTTACAGGAATTTCCCAATTTGGGAATCTGAAATTTTTCCTGTGTTTAATTTGCAACTGTACTGTTAGAACTTATAGGCGTGCAAATAAAGCTAATGTTGTTTTCGTTTTTGTTGTTGTAAAAGTTTAAACCAGTAACCAATTTCCCTGAACACATAGAAACGGGATGTTACGGTATATAATTTCTATTTACAGTGTATATGGTATATCCGGCCCAATGCAAGTTCACGCAAATAAAGCAACTTTTTCGTTGAAGTCTATAAAAGGTTCGTCCACGGAATGACTGAAACCTGTTCCCAGAAACCCTTGCTGAAGTTGTTGAAGTTTTCCACAAGTATCTAGGTGGCTTCGTCGTCTAATTGGACCAAAACGTTTTTGTTTTATACAGTGCTCGTTGTCGTTTCGTATTTTCCCATCTCTTGATGATTGATTTTTGAAGTGTTCTTCTAGACAATGAGTGGTCGGACCTTATTTGCCTTGAGGGAAGTAGAGGGAGTTAGTACCCGAGTGGCAGTGAAAATTGCCACCCACGAGGAAGGCGCGCGGCAAGTGGGGACTCGAGGGTTGTGTTTTTCATGAACGCCCTCTTAATTATTTTGTTTGCTCTACTATCCCTCGAGAAAATAAGGGACTGCCCTCATGGTCTACCTCTCCTCACTGTAAATAAATCCGTAAATCAATTCCCGCTGGTAAGTACAGCCACAACGACTTAATGGAGATGCAGGATCATACAGCTTTCCCAGATGTCAGAAGTCCTTCCATATCTTTTGTTGGCTCTGCAGTGAAAGAAAGCAACAGACAAGCTAATTTCTGTAATTTTTATCAAGTTAACTAATAAGCGAGAAGACTAGCTATGACCAGGTGGGGAATTTTCCTGTGTAGGGGGGAGTGGGAGGGGGAGGGCTACTCTTATACAAGCTTTACAGGCCGGTGCACACTGGCGAAAAGGTAGCTACGCCTCCGGTATAGAAACAGATTTTCAGGTCTCAAATAAGGTAACACCAGGTAACTTTCTCAGGGGGAAGGGGTACTCTTATAATTGTTATAGAAGGAAATACAAAAAAAAACTAACAATAATAGACTGTCGGTCTTTACTCTGTTGTGTCAACCATAGACTCGTGGCATCAGAACTTTTGAAACTACGGATTGATCGATCTATTGATTGATTGATTGACTTATTTCTGGCCTACAACTGAAAACTGACCTCATGTGTTCAAACTAGCATGATCCTTTTATTCTGTGTTGGTTTCTTTTTCAGTCTGCACAACGTGTTCAATCTGTCGTCCGTGCTTTAATTTACTTTTTCTGTCGTTGTAGAAATTTAAGTTCCGTTTCAAAACTCGAACTTCGCACGTGCTGAATTTAATGCTGATGCGAAAAATCTATTTTTGACTTTTCTTTTTAACTGAGCAACTCACCTTTCATTAGTCAAAATTCATTGTCACGTCATCCCCAATCAGCACGAATGGCGCCCAGTACTTCACGGCGTTGAATTCTTGAGTCTCCCGCATACATTCCATGGCATGATGAAGGGACTTACTTGCACTTTGCCCCGCTACCAAATTTCGGTAAAAATGTCTCATAAACTCCAAAGTGTCGTCGTCGCTGAGCGCCCACAGTGACGCGATAACAGAACGTGCACCGGCTCCTAAAAAGGCACGTGCAATTCCAACCACTCCCTCGGCTTTGATCTCCCCTCGTGCACTGAAACAGCAGCTTAAGACAACAAGCTTGGCGCGCAATTGTGCATCCAAAACATCTCTCATTGTCAAACGAAAGTCCTCCTCTTCCGGCTTTTTAGCATCAGCAAGATTAGGAGACAAAATAATTTCTCCGTTTTCTGGACAACCATGTGCTGCAATGTGTACTAAAGAAACTGAGTTGAGCCTGCTCAAAACTTGATCTTTGTAGCGTTCCTACCAGTGAGAGGTTGAATGTTAAGAATCTGTCCAATCATTTGTACTTCTTTCTCAGCACCTGGAAGCGGTTTGAATTTGGACCCTTTGATGCGTACGGTTTCCACCCACGGATTACCAACAAGCAGTGCACCAGATGTACTATGGCTGTCCTCCGGACACTCTGCCAGCAACCTCAAGCTTCTTAGTGATGGAGCCAATCGAATTCTCATCGTTTCAGACAAATACCTGGAATTCTGGTCCACAAGGGCAACATAAGGAATCAAGAATGATGAGCGGTCAGGGACAATGATGATTTCGTCACTTTTTATCAAGTGTGAAAATGGAGCGATAACCACGTCATGCAATGTTTTAAGAGCAACACTCTCTTCATCTTCTGGCTCATCCCCGGAGCGATCCTTGCCCCTCACATCGAAGTTGACACCAATCTTTTGGTACGTTTCGCGAATTAGTGATTTTAAGTCAACACTGATCTCCTTTTGGATAAAATGACACTGCTGTCCCTTAAGCAGTAACCACAAACTCACTAGTTTTTGATCTTCTGCTACAAAAATCATAGGCGAAGAAACAAGTCCTGAAATTGTCATTATTAGTTCCATCTGCTGTTCTGACGACGGTCGCACTGATTCCCTGACGCAATATCGTGATTCCATGAGATCCATGAGAGCTTGTGCTCGTCCCGCCTCAGCTGTGAAAAGTGCCTCAAGGGTTCTACCTTGTTGTGATTGAATTCTCCTTAAAAGAGTATAACTGTCGTCACGTTCATTCCGAAAATTGATTTTCCACTCGTCTTTCCCGGGCAGGAGATCCCTCATTTCCTCGCACAGTTTTATAGAGGATTTAGCACACTCCTCGGCTTTAATAACGTCGCCAAAACGGAAAAAAATAGAAGCAAGGTTGTTATTTGCAATTCTTTTAGAGTCTTTGTTTCCAGTCTTTTCTGCGATACTTACACTCAGCTGAGTAAGCTCGAATGCTTTCTGCAAATCACCGAGATCGTCATAGACACAACCAAGGTTGAAATATGCAGCTCCTTCACAATTTTTCCTTCCACTCGTTTTTGCGATACTTAGACTCAGCTGAAAACACTCCATTGCTTTCTCCAGATCACCGAGATTCTGATAGACAAGGCCAAGGTTGTTATATCCACATCCTTCAGACTTTTTGTCTCCAGTCTTTTTTGCGATACTTAGACACAGCTGAAAATACTTGAATCCTTTCTCGAAATCACCGAGGTGGCGATAGGCAGTGCCAAGGTTGTTATATGCATTTCCTTCACAATTTTTCCTTCCACTCGTTTTTGCGATACTTAGACTCAGCTGAAAATACTCGATTGCTTTCTCCAGATCACCGAGATTCTGATAGACAAGGCCAAGGTTGTTATATGCATTTCCTTCACAATTTTTCCTTCCACTCGTTTTTGCGATACTTAGACTCAGCTGAAAACACTCCATTGCTTTCTCCAGATCACCGAGATTCTGATAGACAAGGCCAAGGTTGTTATATCCACATCCTTCAGACTTTTTGTCTCCAGTCTTTTTTGCGATACTTAGACTCAGCTGACAATACTTGAATTCTTTCTCGAAATCACCGAGTTGGCGATAGGCACTGCCAAGGTTGCTATATGCTCTTCCTTCAGAATTTTTGTTTCCAGTCTTTTCTGCGATACTTAGACACAGCTGAAAACACTCGATTGCTTTCTGCAAATCACCGAGATCGTGATAGACAAGGCCAAGGTTGTCATATGCTCTTCCCTCAGAATTTTTGTTTCCAGTCTTTTCTGCGATACTTATACTCAGCTGAAAACACTCGATTGCTTTCTGCAAATCACCGAGATCGTGATAGACAAGGCCAAGGTTGTTATATGCTCTTCCCTCAGAATTTTTGTTTCCAGTCTTTTCTGCGATACTTATACTCAGCTGAAAACACTCGATTGCTTTCTGCAAATCACCGAGATGACGGTAGGCATCGCCAAGGTTGTTATATGCAGTTTCTTCAGAATTTTTGTTTCCAGTCTTTTCTGCGATACTTAGACTCAGCTGAAAACACTCGATTGCTTTCTGCAAATCACCGAGATCGTGATAGACAAGGCCAAGGTTGTTATATGCTCTTCCCTCAGAATTTTTGTTTCCAGTCTTTTCTGCGATACTTAGACTCAGCTGAAAACACTCGATTGCTTTCTGCAAATCACCGAGATCGTGATAGACAAGGCCAAGGTTGTTATATGCTCTTCCCTCAGAATTTTTGTTTCCAGTCTTTTCTGCGATACTTATACTCAGCTGAAAACACTCGATTGCTTTCTGCAAATCACCGAGATGACGGTAGGCATCGCCAAGCTTGTTATATGCAGTTTCTTCAGAATTTTTGTTTCCAGTCTTTTCTGCGATACTTAGACTCAGCTGAAAACACTCGATTGCTTTCTGCAAATCACCGAGATCGTGGTAGGCATTGCCAAGGTTGTTATATGCAGTCCCTTTAGAATCTTTATTTCCGATCTCTCTGGCTTCCTTTAATGCCAACTCGAAGTAATATCGGGCTGTTTTATAATCACCGCCTTTTAAAGCTTTCATTCCAAGGTGATAATTGCACAAGCAATCCTTTACGCGGGAAGTGCTGTCGGGTTGCTCCTGCTTTCTTTTACCTTCACCGCATGACTAAAAACAGCAAAAATAAGAGTGTTTTATCCTATGTAAAATCAGTTATATCCCGATCTGTCCTTTATAAAGCTGTTAAAATAATAAATGTCCTTAACCTGAAAATCCTCCTCATATCTTTTTATACTTTTATTTTAATATTGATACTCCTGTAGCTTGTTTTGGAAACTGGCAATGTCTTCCTATGCAAAGACTAACCTAAACTGCAGCTACCAGCTCTGAAGAAATAAGAAGGTCGTCCAAGATTTTACATGTAATACTTACGTTCACAACTAATCTACAGCTCTTCGAGAAAACAGTATAATTATTTGAGATAAAATTTCAGGAAAATACTATGTACGCTTTGGCTATTTTTGCCAAAAAAAATGGATTAAAGAAGAAGTGAAGAAATTAGCTTCATGAAATTTGTGATATCTGTTTTATTTGTTTTGCCAGAAGGTAAATTTTTAACTCAGTGGTGATCTGAGTAGGTAAGCATGAAATTCGTGTTTCAAAAAAGGCATTACACGTGCCGCCTAAGAAATAGGAGTAAATACAAGAATAAATTTCAATCTTGTTACTTTGCTTTTTCCTTTTCGTACTAGATTTCTCTTTGAATCAGTCTTTAACTAAACAATCTCTAACTCTTTGCAAAAATCAAATAATGAATGGTGTAATGAAAAACTGGTCTTCTTTTACTCAAATATTTAATTCTCATTGGCAAAAACCTTTTGTACTCTAAGGCATTGCATGGTGGTAAAATCCACGGTTTTAAGATATTCTACCTCGCTAGCTCTTTAAAAGGAGAAGATAGAAGAAGAAAATATATCGACGTCAGAGAAGTGGTCTAAATTAATCAACTATAGCTAGTTACGTTTGGTGTGTGCAAGGGTGTATGATTTGGTGTGTGTGTAAGTGTAAACGCTTGTTTACGGAGGATGTACAGGGACCGCGGAACGTATTTTGGATTGGTGGGGCTGAACGAGCGTCGAACGCGCCAGTATATCTAAGGGGGTCCGGGGGTATGTTCCCCCGGAAAATTTTGAAATTTAGAGCCCGTAAAATCACCAAAAACGCGTATATCAAACCAGGGAAAATGTTTTTAAATTTTAATCACCATTTTCTTTATTTTCTACACAAAAACGTACATTTCAACTTGATTAAAATATATGGCGTTCATTTAATGTGACAAAAGATTCAAATAATATTAAGGCCAATCCTTAAATTTATATTCTTTTACCAATTAAACTGGATTTCACCAAACAGAATTAACAAAATATCAAGAAAAAGAAATAAGCCTTAAAAGTTTCGCGTTAGCCCATGTCGGGTTTATCATGTGGAGTCCAGTTAGCTGGCTATATGAATGATCAGCGTCAGTATATAAATATTCCAAAGTTACGTTTGCGGTTATCATTTCGACTGACAAATTCTTAAGCCACATCAGCAAGTCGCACAGCGTCAGTTTTTGTCTTATGAGTAATTAAGATTGCACCACTCTTAAATCTCTGCTGGGTCATCTTAGCGCGCAGACAGGTTTTGACTCTGCGCGCCACAGAAAACTAAAATGATCTTTCGCCCGTTGCTGCAGCGACTGGATTGACGTGGAGAAGCTAGTTTGCAGATTTGTACAACCGCAATAATCATGGCACGCTCAAGCAAGGCTCTTCTGCCTCTTCACTTTATTTAATGTAATATATCTGAAAAACTTTCGATTTGTTTGTTTGCCCTTCATCAGAACCTTGAATATCTCCAACTGGGGAAGAAGATAATAGTACTTGATGTCTTCTGCATAATTTTCTTTTATTAACTTAATTTGAGAAGAAAAATCGTCGTCATTAAGAAAGTTAACAAGAACACTTTCCAAGTTCTTATGCGCTTTAAAATTCGGTTGATCAAAACGTTCGTCAATAGTAGAACCAACATTTCGTTGATCTACCCAGGATGCAACGGGGAGCGCCATCTTTTTCCGTATCGCAGATTGCTTATCCACGGATGGAAACGAAACTTTGGTCGCTTACATCTTATCGTCTAGACTTAGATTTAAAAAAAAATAGTTGAACGCGTACAGACATGTTGAATGATCGACACACGATGAGAATAGCGTTCAGAGTTAGAAATGGATCAGGGGAGGTTGGGCAGCAGTTCGCAAAGGATCATGGGGCGAATTATCAAGTAGCTCAGTTACAACGAAACCGTCGAGCTAGACGGATCTCCATGATGCACGCCTTTTTGCCGATTTTAGCCACAATTGAGCTAGAATTCCGAATATTTTCGCACAAAAAATGTTTATCCTATCAAAGATGTTATAAATTTCTCACGGCTAAGTGGTTGAGATGCCTTTACAGTCAAACCAGGTCAAGCGTTCCCGTCGCTAACAAAGTAATGAATTCATTAATGGAAAAATGATTTCGTTTGTTGATTCAATAATCCATTCATAAAATGAATAATCCAAGAGTCAAATTGTACCTCGATTCAATAATCAAATGTTGATTTGGTTTATGAACAAAATCTACCTGTTCTTTATTCTTGTCTGTTGTGTTCAATCGTATTTGCTTCCCTTTTCCTGCCGTTTACGATTGCGTTTTTCATTGCCTTTAATCAAAATAACAGCTAGAATAGACAGACCGCAAACGCAAAGAAACTGACAAAGGCCGAGGATCGAAATCCACCAATCACCGCACATACACTGACCTCAGTTTGACCGTCGTGTTTTCTAAGAGGTCAGGCCTAGGTCTGTTGCACTGATTACTGGCAGCAAACTGGCGTACATGTAACAGTTTGTTTGGGTTTGAACTTCAAAACTCGCCAGCACTCGATTCTCAGAAAAAAAAGAGGAAAAAACAAAATTCTGAGGTCAACTTGTGGAAAGTGTAATTTTTCAAAAAACAGTAATCGAATCAACATTCGATTATGGAATCGAGGCTAAATATGACTGCTGGATTGTTCATTTTATGAATGGATTATTGAATCAACAAACGAAATCATTTTTCCGTGAATGAATTCATTAGTTCGTTAGCGACGGGAACGCTTGATCTGGTTTGACTGTAAAACATGTTATTTGTTAGCCGGCTTGTGGCTTGCAAACGAAGCGCGCTGTGTCAACTATATGCAATTTTGGGTTAACAATGACAGAGACTTTCGCTCCTTTTATGGTCTTTTATGGTTATTGTTTTAAGGTAAATTGCCCCTATTATTCGAGAAACAAAGGTTGGGATTACCGATGCGTAGCCAGATCATCGACCGCGAAATTCAAATCTTCGTAAGCCACCGTAGCGTAACAAATGCTGACTTAGGGGAGTAGGGTGTGAAGAAAATATACCATGAAATAAAACTAAGCCAACCCACCCAGCTATTTTCCCTAAAGTGCTCTAATTAGCGCCTTTTCACGTTATTGTCTTATTAAACGCTTTTTCTTCAACCCGCGAGTCCCGCTCAGCTTTTAAACCAAGCAACAGCACCCGAAACATTTTTACAGATTAGTTTTTGGTATGACCTTGAAACTACTTCTACAAAATTAGAATCAAACGAGAAAAAGACGTATTTTTTACTTGAAGCCGTTCTAAACTTGGGCCCTGTCGAGCCAGCTTTGTCTCACGAAAAAGGTGCGACAATCAGTTTGGCTACCGACGCGTGCCATAGAGTGAAGTGATTTTTGAATTTATTCCGTGTGTCTTGTCTTATATCAAGAAAAAAATCGTATTTAAGAGTCGTCAGCAAATAACCAAGTTTAGGCAATCCATTCTCCACAGTGATTTCGGGGTAGGCGAGAAAAAAATAATGGTATCACTCAGTTACGTTTCGGAAAACAATGAAGTCACTCAAACAAGGAAAGGTGCGATAAAGTCAACCTTTTCACACCAATGCCTACTCTCATTTTAAAATTGTGATAACGATGAGATACTTGTTTATGAGTACCATATTACTAAATCAAGTCAGTAATAGACACCGGTTTAAAAAACTGAGAGATTTCAACTGTATACATATTGAAATGGTTCAGTTTTTAGACCCATAAAATGACAATTAACTACTATGTGAGTGTTTCATTCTCCTTTTCTCTCAGCAGTAAAAAGCTATGAATACTGTATATAGACAGTTATGAATTTTCTCCCCTCTCCTCCGCAAAAAAAACAGAGTAATTCATTAAACCCCAATTACTAATGAGCAACCTCCCTCCCTGACTGGCCACCAGTTCAGAAGAACTAAAACAGAAAATGCTCAGAGGACTAAAAGAGGAAATACCGTTAATTAAAGTTTCTCGTCTCTATCTCGTGTCTGCTGTGGGTGAAAGTTTGGAACCTCTTTGTTGGATGATTAGTGTGTTAATTAACAATTACCAAATGAGGCTGAATATGATTTGAAGGGTGTTAGCCGAGGAGGACCGTCTTCAGTTGTCTCAGTATAGTTGCCTGTTTCTCGACAAGTTCAGGATTTAGAGGGATGTTCAGTTCTGCAGATCATGAGTTCTGCAGATATTCTCCATTCTTGCTACGATTTTAGGCAATAGTTCAGCTATTTTTTCTTTGCGAAACGTGAAAAATTTTCCGTCGTTTTGTAATTCTCCACCAAAACAACGCAATCTCGATCAAAGACTTCCCAGTTTTCAGTCTATTTTCTAGCAATTAGGCTGTAGTACTCCTTCCAAATTTGGTCAACGCCAGCTGGTTATGAAGAATAAGCCGCGGGAATTGAGCCAATCAGAAAAGAGAAACTTTTTGAATAAACAATAATTGAATATAATGCCTGATTTTCATGGGTTGATTGTTTAGCAACCATTTTATGAACTTAGTACAGGGTAATTTGAACGTAACGCGAACTGTTAGTAAAATTGCTTTAAAGGCGGAGCCCTTAGTTGACGGATTGTGGTACCGATCGCATCTCGGCTTTTATTAGAGTCAACTTGCAATATCAGGACAGCATGAAAAGCTATTTTCATCGCTAAATCAAAGCGAAATGCTTATTATAGAAACAAACCAAGATACCTCGTTGTCCATGTCTGTTGCCAGCTTTCTGAGCTCCATCAAAGTGGTGTTTTCCGTTTCGATCTTTTGACATTGTTAAGGGATGAAGTTTCATTATAAATTAAGTACTTCTTATGTTTGTTCTAACTGAATATCAACTAGTGGACCTGTTCAGTGAGTTCCTATGAATTAAAGTCAAGGCTGATCGGACAGCGTAGGATGGGCAATTTATTTTCCCAATATTTCTGTTAAACAAAACTAATCCTCATGAGGGGCTAAAAAGGCTGAGTAAGTTGTTCATCATAAGTAACTTGAAATTTTCCGCAGTATCTGTAAGAAGAATGCTAATTTTAGACGCATTTCTAGCTGTTTCAAACCGCCTAAATATCATATTTCAGCTGACATTGTCCCTGGGAACATGGGCCTGCATGCACATCCGTCTCCTATATGATTCTCCCACGTCTTACTGTTAAGAAAGAACTGGATGGAGAGAAAACTGGGGGAGGGGGAAAATTGTGCGTACCTCCGGAACTTATTCTGGCTACGCCCCTTATAAAGAGAAGCTGGAGGTGTCACCATGTACAATCAGAATGTAATTAATTACAGGATCAGGTCTAACCTGCCTGATCCTGACTTTGACATTATGTGTGACTAACAAAAACCCAAAGTCAAGCCATTTCTTCTTTCTTCTCTCACTGAAATGGCCTCAACAGTATCCCAGCTTTCTTAGTTTCCAAGGCATCAAATAAGTTCACTTATAGCTACAGTCTCTAATTCTCTCAATACTTTACTTTGAGAGCTCTTGTCGACATATCGACGGCATTTGACACTTTAGATATCGAGAAATGATTTAACAAACACCATTCTGTTTATCAAGCTGAAAAGGGCATTCGAACTTGAACCTCTTCAGAAACAGAAAATTTAATACAATAAAGGTTACAGCGATAAACAGCGTCAAATCTGAAAGAACTTGTGGACGTTTCGGGGCGCCTTAGGGCTCTATCTTCGGACCCCTGATATTCCCATTATGTATCAATGACTTGCCATATTGTAACTAACTATCCTTTGCTAGAAATTTTGAACTCCACTAACCTCGCTTAGGCGTCTAAAAACCCTAAAGAGTTGTTCTTATCCCTAATTCATAACCTAAGCTAGCAATGCGAAACAATGGCTCAATTCACATCGGCGCTCACGCCAAATAACGTAGTAAAACAGTAGCTTTTTTTTTCATAGTTAAGAGATCAACAATAAAGTTACAATAGCATTTGCGGCCCTAGCTTAGGGAACTGAAGCCAATACGTCCCGAAAGAATTCTGGTAACAGCTTACAAATTGTTGGTTTATCCCGCCTTATCCCGATATGATGTCTTATCCCGATTATTGTGGAGTTGCGTGTGGGGATATTGGTGCTGGACTTAGTCAAAAGCCTGAAAAATTGCGACAATTGCATTTATAATATGTGGATCCGGGTGAGATGTCAGATCTGCTCAGATTCTCCGCGACCTCGACTGGATAAGCCTCGTTCACAGACGAGTTTAAACCACAGGATAAACAAGCACTCGAATCATCCTTGTGGAATTTGCAAACATGAATATCATTCGTAGACATAATCTTTGGGGCCCGCAACAAAAATATTTTCATTCTATGCCAAGACTCTTTACAGAGAGTTTCCGATATCAGGATGTTGTCCCATGGAACAGTTTGTCAGCTGAGGCCTAGCAGGCCAATAGGCCAGTTAACAACTTTTATACTATTAAAACAACTAGAAGTTTCACTTAGAAAGAACAGCTGCAGAACTAAAACTCGCTGGAATCGCCCTGAAACGGCCGAAGATCCTAACAACACACCACAACCAGTAAAACAACGAGGCAAGGTAAAAAGTTTTGATGTATTATATTTTTATTGCCATTTTTGACCCCTTAATAACGACGATCGCTAAAATCCCCATACAAACAGTTCTGTTACGCAACAACGATTCTCACTCGTGAGCTTGGGGTACCTGTGTTAACTGGCTGTTAACAACTTTTTATACTGTAAAAAAGTAAGTCATTATATTTCTCTACTGTACGTTTAGTATAGAAACCTTAAGGTATACTTGTAAAGGCATAATTAATTTTAAATTTCACTATGTATAATCCATTTATTACTTAGCTATAGTACACGGTTCCCTGGGGAAGGACGACGCCATGGATAAATAAGTTGTTGTTGTTGTCGTCGTGTGTAAATTATGCTTACAATATGAGGAGTATTACCAATTTTACCTTTTAGGATACCAGTGGCAATTAATACAAGTTCACTCAATACGGTGTTGAAACCATTCATAAGACTCCTTGAGACTAGAAATACGTGAACTGAAGAACTGGCAGAACCTCGCGTAGCTCAGGGATGAGAAGGTGGAAGAGAAATAGGGTAGATCGTGTAACTGGTGAGACTGGGTTTGAACACACTGAGGCTCTAATATTGGAAGCTGAGACATACTCCATGTCCTTTTGGTTGGAGTAAATTCGAACCTAGTCCCCTGGATCTTCTTTCTCTCTTATAGGTTTTAAAGAGGGCTTGTAATCACATTTTATTTGCAATGTAATTTGTTTTTGCTTTGAACGCGAGACACGTTTCAAAGACGTTTTGTAATCATACTCTATGTGGAACTTTAATCATAACATAGTAAGGAGTATAGCAAGTAGCAAAGGTAAACTATCTTTTGATCATGATGCAGGCATGCAATGAACAAAAGGATACTGCTAATCCTCTATCACACCACGTGATCGCCAGCTTAAACAGATTCAATCTCGTTAAAGCTTGCACTCCTGAAATAGTGAAAGTAGTGTAAATCAGTAAATCTAGAATATTCAGCGACACAAGCCTGTTTCCTTTCTTCCATTCTATCGAAACAGCGCTTAGCGGAATCAACAGAAAATTATAACTGAAATGTTAAACATATAAAACTTGATCATGACCGCCACTGTCATAATCAGCCAACATCGCAAAAGGACAATGAAGGGTGATTGCTGATTTCCAGCTGATCAAGTTCTGTTTTCGTAGTCTCGAGAGGCCTGTGATCGAAATGATGTGACTCTGTGAATTCAGTCATTGATCCTAAGTCTAAGCTTCAATTTCATTCTTGCATAGTTTCTAAAAGTTTGAAAAAATTAAGGTAACTAATCAAAGAACGCCGGTTACGGTTTTGAGTTATAATGTGGTTAAATTCAAACGCTTTCAGCACGTCATAAACTGTTTGTTTCTTAAGGACAAAGTACTAAACCTTTGGAATTACCTGCTATTATTGGTATTACTGACAGTGGTCGCATGTCCGTGGCTACTTTTGCGTCTACCAGTGAATAAATGTAATTTCCTAGGAATGTTGAAAAACAGAAGCCAAAATGTCACACACAGCAAACGCAGCGAGCCAATCAGAATTCAAAGCACGTACGATACACAAAAGGTGGCAAGTACAGGATGACCTTTTTAAAGCAAGTCCAAAACAGAATGTAGTGAATCAGGGGCTCATACGAATCATAGGTTCCTGAGTGAATTAATCAGATAATGCATAATACTTTTTATTAGTACGATATTACATTTAAAAAATTTACACTGGAAAAAGAAAACTTCTTTCGAGAGTAGTTCATGCATGCATGGCAGTCATGCGACGGGGGAGGGGAAAGGCCGGAGAATAAAGGCGCGTGGCAACATGATGGAAGGGAACGCCCACAAGAACGTTATTGTTTGACCCGTTTGTTTGAACCTTTTTTATACTTAGTTTCTGAAAGTAAAAACCGCAATTTTTCATTATCAAGTATATAATCCAGAGCCGTAGCTAGCGAGGGGGCAAGGGGGCCAGCTGCACATCAAGTATGTGGATGGATTTGTTTTCTTTAGACTCAGTTATTTTGGTTATAGTGACTTGTAATTGTTTGCCATTTTCATATTCTAGGTCGATTTTTCGGAGACATATCTCATGACAAGTACTGAAAATAACGTTTCGGAACCTCCAAATTTGAAAATTTTCTGGGGGACGATACCCCCATACCCCCGCACAAGCCTCGTGTCTTCTGTACTCGCGATAATGCCCTCCGTTACAAAAACAAACTAGCTACGGCCCTGTAATCATGTGTCAATCACTGACATCTGCTTCGATTGGACTGTTCTCAAATAGTTCCCTGGCGAGATCAGCAATTCGTTAAAAATATATATATAGAATATTTGGTCCTCATCACATTTTTAAAGAAATTTCTTTCTCTGCGGACTACGAAATTTCAAGCAAACTGTTAATCACAATTCAAATCCAGTACCTCTGTCTTACCACTCGGCTACTCCGCCTTCCCACCCCCTCCTTGCCACATCAGTATTTGCAAAAGTACAAATAGTCTCACCAAAAAGAAGGTTTGCATATGCTCTGTTGCTGTACAGCTTAGCCTTCAGATCCTGGTCCTTGCAGTTTACTTTTATTCCCTCAGTATAAAAGTGAATGGCGTTGCTGTAATCTTCCTTCAAGGACGCTTCATTACCTTCAGTCATGTAAACTTCTGCTATAGCTGACAACGAAGCAGATTGAAATGTCGTTAAACCTGAGCGCTATTGCTTTGGGTGTTAATAGTTACCTTATGAATAGCGTAAACCATGACATTAGTCATAGAAATAGGATGTTCAATGAAATGAAATTAAAAAAAAGAAAAAGGAAGAGAATGAAAGTTTTCAGGACAGAATACGGCTGCTGATCTCCCATCTAGTTACCAACCCCTCCCGTCAGGCTTTAATTTGGGTAGCGCTGTATGTCAATACCAAGGTTTGCAAAGTTTTGCTTGACATTTATTTCTAAAAAGCAAGATTATTTCCTACTAGGTTTTGTCAGTCTATTTTAATTCCATGAAGTGAAGTTGGTCACTACGTAGCAACAGTGATATGAGACTAAATGTTCCGTTTAACACGCCAAAAAGGGAGTCGTACATGATTTGTATCCTCAGAGAATACTAGACAAAAGGAACGCGGAAGCATTGCACTGAATAAGAGGTGCGTTGAGATCATTTTGGAGTCGCCTAGGAATATGTGAATCGTGCAGACCGAGAGCTAATTCTCTGCTTATGTGAATCGCAAGATAAGCCTGCTCCTAGAATACTCTAATCGACTGTTCGTGGTTCTTACGCAATCACTTGCTAGTTCTGTAAATATTGCTTTAAAATTAAAATTCCAGCCAATTTAATTACTTTAAATTCTGTTGTCGCTGATGATGCCCGTTGAAAATGGTGCATCATTTTTTTAATATCTTTTCCAGTCACCGTGATGTTCTTGTCTATAGTTTTAATTTCATTCGTCCTTGCTATGTCAAAGCTCTTTTGGTGATCAACTAATAACAGTAGTGAATGTCTTTACCTTTCAATGTGTCGTCATCAAAGTCCAATGATTGCCCTGAACTAAGTGCCGCAACATCAGTCTCTCTTGCTGCTCCGATTCCACTTTGCGTCATGTTTGCAATGATCTGGTGAAAAACAAAAATAGACCAACGCTATCAATTAATGAAATTCTATCTCCCTGCATTAGCATGGGCGACTATCGCTCAATATGGTGCTTTCCACTTAATGTTAAAAAAATTCACACATAACACTACTTTTTGAACATTATCCAACAGAATACTTCAGTTTCAGGCAGGAAGATCTTGAAACGCACTGAGATATTACTACATAATTCAGCAGTATATCAAACTATTTTCACAGTAAACCCAGTGACAGGCAGTTGCCCCAAAACATACCACCCTGTGTACCAGCAATAACAAACTAATCTTCCAAATACAACTTCGCCAGCTGAATCATAGTCAAATTCAGGGCAATGATTTTTTTTTAATTCTTTTTTTTCTGAGGTGTCATCAATAAACATTCTAAAAAAAGTGACAAGGAATTACACTGCCGCGTGACAGCACCTCAGCTCAGCCCTGAGGAGCATATTGCATTGCTGTGAGCCAGCAATAACAAACTAACCTTCCAACAACCACACCAGTTTACTCATATTCAGATTCAGGGCAATGATTTTTTTAATTCTTTTTTTTCTGAGGTGTCATCAATAAACATTCTAAAAATAATACCCAGGAATTACACTGCCGCGTCACTAATGCATGACAGCCTGCCGCGCAACTAATGCGTGACAGTACTTCACCTCAGCCTTGAGGAGCATATTGTATTATTTCCCTGTAAAAGAAACTCGCCTCGTTATTCGCAATAGCTGTCGTGATGACGTCTGCTTTCCACTGAAAGATATTCAGCAGCTATGTGAACAATAATCCAATAATAAACGAAGTAGAAGTATACGCATGCGCAATAAGTATAGAGTGGATAAGGTTGCCAAGCACTGCAACACAATTAAAAAAGAAAAGCGGCAAATAAGATTATACCAAGTCAAAAATTGACCCAAATATTAAAAATACCGCATCTTACATGTTTTACCGGATACCACAATATGACAAAATACCGCAAAATAGTCCACGTGAAAAATTACCAACACCGCAATACCGCAAACTTTCTCATTCTAATGGGTTAAAAATATAATATACCAAAAGTCTACGATGGTAAATCCCCAAACCCTCGGGTTACAAATGACCAACCAGTAGAAGGGGGTGGGGGTGCGGGTGGGGGGGGGGGGGGTGGGGGTTGGGGTGGGGGTGGGGGGAGCTAGTGATATGCCCCTCTTTTCCCTCCCTTCTCAAAAGGGGAAAAAGACAGATCGGGGTTTGTACCGTGAGCAAAAGCAAAAGTGCCTGACAGATGCCCGGAGGAATGGTCACCCTTGTGGCTTTCATTAGTCGAGACGAGCAAAAACAGAACGGGGACAGCGACGAAATTCTCTCTCTCTTCCCCCGCCCCACTTCCCCCTCTTCTTTCTCTCTCTGTCTGTTCCGAGAGCCTGGAACAGCCCATCACGCTTGAAAACAACTGACTATATTTAGTTGTTTGCAGGTGTTTTCACCGAAGTTGAGGGTATTTTGGTTTTGGCTTGCAGGATTCTTCGTTTTCGAGTTGAGGTTATTTCGGTTATTTCGGTTTCGAACTGAAGATGCTTGGTTCTTTTTATATTCGAGATTGCTTCTTTTTGCTATTTTTAGGTCGTTTTGATATTGTATATCTTTCTATAAACTGTAGTACGTCACAAGTAATGGTTTTAATTATCTAATTAAGAAATCTTTGATGGCTTTCGGTAAAACAAGTACTGTTTTTGTTCGAACGCAGAGCGCACGCGCGATAGCTGAAATTAAAACTACAATTAAACTAAGATTTAAAAAAATTGAAATACAGTGAGAAAAAGTTATCTTACACGGAATAAGCGAAGGTAGTATTTGCTGAACTGATTGTTGAGTGGGAAGCTGTCCGTCTTGAGACTTGGAAAATCCTTCTAAAAAATTGAATCCGAGTAAAATTCTGTGTTCAGGATTTATCCGACTGCTTTGGCGCTAAAAAAACTAACAAGTCATGCGGAATCTTTTCACATTGTTTGTTCGAGAATGAGCCCATTGAACTGGACAATCAGCATGGATTTGTTTTCTTTACTTTATGGGGAAAGACCAAAACTAAACCAACATTGGGTTTTGGGAAAGAAAACATCACGCCGAAGAAGGCCTTGACTGCGAAGTGAAACAGGCAAGAACAAGATTTATCGATCAAAAACAGTTCAGACAGTTTCCGCAGAAGGTCATTCAAAATCCGCGGAAGAATTGCCACTTTTTGATTTTTTTTTTTTTAATTATACCGCGATCGGAAACGACGACCAGACAGATCAAACACTTTTAGTTAGCTTAAGATATGCAAAGTCAAACAAATTTTCTGGCTTGTCTTACTACAACAGTCACCTGATCAGTCATAATTCCTTTCTAAAACGAGAAATTATTTACAGGCCTGTAGTTTCTGAGCCTACTGATAGATACAATCATGGAAAATATATGTCAATGATAAAGCTATAAAAGAGCAAGAAACTTGACGAAAACCCTACTAAATA